TTTATATAGGAAGAAAACGTGGGGAAAATTATAATCGCTATCAGGGTCTGATTTACGCACAGAAGAGTAATACTTATAACTGTTTCTTGGGAGTGGGGGTAAGCCACAGCACTAAGTTTTATTAACACGGTTTGGCGTACGTGATGCTTTGTAATGAAATCTAAACTCCAACTTAATAAAATTTGGTATGAAAGTAGCTTATGTTTTGCGGAAATACATTCACTTGAACACATACTCCATATCACAATGCTTGAACAATTTTTTTTCAGTTGTTTTGGGGCAAAAGTCCTCATTTGTTTTTGTATACAAATTTATAATTTCGGTCCGCAGTTCGACCACATTGATAAGTCTTAAATTCTTGTCTTTCATAAAGCTCTGCCATTGCAAAAAGTTGCGAGGATTCGAATAAGTGTCCAGAGATATCCAAAACATACCGCTTTTGTCATGGTCTGAGAAATGGTTGCATATCATATTTGAGCACAATTTATTCTCTCTAAAATATCTAACAGAACATTAAGAGCGCACGACAGTAGGCGTACTATGCGTGAAACCCTGCATTTTACCGGAGCGTTTGAAAGACTTGCTATGGTTTCTAGTTTTTTCTACGGACTTGTCAACTTAAGGACGATATCGTAAGTTGCTGAAGTTTATTTTTATTTAACATTATAATGTCCGACCATCAAGCTTAGAGAGTTTTGAACACATATCGCAATTTTGCAATTTATTTTATTTTTATTGCATGAACGATGAAACAGGTAGATATCTCCACATTTGTATTTCGACCACTCTTTCATTTTACGTTTAAAGTCTTTTCATCGTTAAGTTTTCTAATGGACGTTCAAATGCAGTAGAAAATTAGATTCATTTTGGTTTTGGAAAAATATTTCTATATGAAAGGAAAGAAAAGAACTGTTTTAAAAGTATAAACTTGTACTGTAAAAAGGTAACTTCAGACTTAGAAATTTTTATAGTTCTGAAAAGCTGACTAAGGAAAAATGCTTTGATTTGCAGCAAGTATTGAGAAAAAATTAAAATTAGTAATTTTAAGAACTTTTATGTATATTTTGAAGTCAATGACATAGTTATTAATTCATAATCTGGAACAAAAGAGCTGACATTAATTCTTAATTTACTGAATCCTTCAGCTTGTAGGGTTGTAGGCAAGGAAGTGTTGGTAATCTGCTGACAGAATGCAAACGCTTAATTAACTCAGGAAAAAGTAGTGTAGGGTTTTTCTTAATTTGCATAACAAATTTATTTTAAGCTTTCCTGTTCTCAACTTCTCAAACTTCCTCTCACATTCTCTCGCCAGGATGTAAATTTTAAAGTTAAGTGAAGTGCCATTTAAACGTGTGATTATATCAGTTTATTCAGAGCGTGTTTCGCTAGCCTAGCGCACGTTTCGTCGTTATTTCGCGGTCACTCGAGTAAGCCTTTTGGCCTTATCAGTTTAGTATCACGCCGGTTAGATCTCTATGAGTTCATCTCTTAAAGAAGTAATTTTGAAGTGCGTTCTTGCACTCGTTTTATTTTTCAGATTTGATTTTGTATACTCGTCTACGTTTAGTTATCGCCGCAAGTGAACGGTGTTTTTGTAAAGCACGAAGTCCGTGCTGTCTGTTATTTTAGTTTGAGTTAATAAAGGGTTATTTTGCACCCTTCTGTGCTGGTATTTATTTCACGCCTGTGCGTGAATTCGCCAGGTTCATTGTAGGATCTAAATTAGTGGATGTGGAAAAGTAGAGACAGATCTTACAAGTGGCGCCCGAATTTTTCCGAACTCATGGATAAAATAGCACTTCACTTAACTTAAAAATTACATCCTGGCGAGAGAATGTGAGGGAAAGTTTGAGAAGCTGAGAACAGGAAAACTTAAAATAAATTTGATATGCAAATTAAGAAAAACCCTACAGTAGTTCTTACATAAATTTATAATTTAGCTTTTATATTTAATTTGTGCTCTAAAAATTAATGCTTTTAAAAAAGTTATTAATTTAGTATTAGACTAAATACAATATAAGCCCTCATGTCAACAAGATGTATATCATCTTAGAGAAATTGCTATGCTACTGATATTGACAAATTTCATATCACACGAATTGCTTCTCAAGCTGTAAGAAAGGCACATAATTTCCTTCTCCTCTTTCACATAATATATGCAGAAGCCTTTCGCATTTTATTCATTCCAAGCATTCTGTGCCAGCAGTATTTAGTTGCATGAACTATAATGATGATAATAATCATCATAATAATAATGTATTAAATGTATGGTTGAGTTCTAAATAGTTTCCTATTATCATTTCGGGGGAGTGCAACAAAATTTTGATGAATAATGTAACATTAATCCTGAATGGGAAATGGTTTGAAATATATTTCCCAAACTGGCTGAAAAATAATATTAAACATTTCTCGGTGCACTCTGCATTTGAAATCATATTTCATAATCACAACTTAGGGCTTTTGTAGGTTGTTAACAGCGAGAGAATCATCATGTAATCTGCTTCGTTTGCATATTGCAATTTCTCTCAACTTACTCAACCAAAGTAAAGGGGATATGAGCAATCAGCAGCCATGTTTACTTTAAAATGAAATTTTATCTTAGTGCAACCCAAATTAATCACACAGAGAACTAACTCATTTTGCATTGGATGCGGTAAAATGATTGAAGTTAACTCTGCTTACATTTGTATTTAGTTTAATATAAGATTCAATATTACTTCACATATTTTTCATAACATGCAATGTGATAAATACTTTAACTTTCCTTTAAAGCGCCTAGTAAATACCAATAAATAAAAAAGCATCGTTAATACTGATTGTTTGCAATTAAATCTATGTATAAGCTTAATGATACCAGTCTGATGATAATCTACCTTAGATCGTAACAGATTTTCTCTTTAAGGGCACATAATTTATTATCTTTCATGTGGAAAATAATCAAAGAGCAAAGAAAATTTAAAAAATTAATCAAAGGCTTGCATTGAAGCACTGAAATGTATACGCTTATGATAATCTACTTTAGATCGTAAGGTATAGAATTTATTATCTCTGATATAAAAGGCAGTCAGACATTAAGGAAAATTGAAAGAAATTTAGAGGATGCTGTTTTATTTTCCAGCATCGAAATAAAAGATGGAGTATTTTCGATTACCAATTTTCAAAGTAATATACTCGGCCGTGCTCTTTATGTGCCTTTACTATAGTTATTTATGGAACACTATATCTGTGAAAGGAACACTTTTCGGAAATTTTTGGAAATGGTGAGTAGGCTATACTGCTTGAACAGATGACGACAGAAGATTTTTGCAGACTTCTGTATTTCGGTGACATTCAGTCACCTCATAAGTCACTTAGACTTATTCCTGTGAAGGCATTTGAAGGATAAGGTGTATGTTATCAGTGTAGGAAGCGTGGAAGAGTTTAAAGAATAAATCAAGAAGGAAATTGAGCTCATAACTCCCGATATCCTAGACCCGTATCAGGTTACAGGTTACGGAGGACAGGGACGCCTGGTGTCTAACACAAGTAAGCAGGCGTATGTCCCACGCCCTTCCCTATTTAGCGGCGACAACTCCCTGGAGCCTCAAGAGGCTGCATCGGGAGTTTATTGAGACATGAAAAAGTTTGTTCATGGCCAAACAAGGGCGCTCCTGTTTTGTTTAACAGATTTAGAGGGATTTTGACTGAATAGAAATGGCAAGGAAACAAAAATGTTGCAGAAAAGAAAAAGCAAGAGCAAGAATTAAAACATGCAAAGAAATATAAGTAGGGCATGTGTTGAGTTAAGCTGCTAGGATAATGACTTCAACTGGCATGTGGTGCACAATATGTTGAGTTCTGTGCTAGGAATTCGCAGGGTATAGCGTTTGCACATAAGGTTGTCCACGGTTGCGTAGTTCACATAGGTAAAACAATTTGCACATGTGTATAGTCGCAAAACATTCGCTGTTTGCGCGTGTTGTTCATAATTTGCACACAGCTTACAGTTGTTTGAGGTCTTTGCTTGCGACGTGCACTTGTAAGCTCGCAGCTCACAGATCGTTGCGAGAATTTTGACGGGGGAAACAGGAGGGTGCAGCTGGCTGCGGTTGTAGTGATGGACCTCTAGACTCGTATCATGAAGAATGTCCGTAATCATCTCGTAAAGTGCATTGCTAAAGGAAATTGTCCTTTGTTCGATACAGTGCTTGACTGTGGCAGAGGCATACAAAGCACCCACTACGTGGTATGTATGTAAACAGACAAATGCAGAAAAAAGATGATGTAAAATATTTGAAATTTCATATCCTCTAGCGCCGAGTATATTACTTTAAAATGGGTAAACGAAACTGCTCCAACCTGTATATACGTTTGTGTTAATTTTAAGGACTTGTTTAGCTTTTAACCAGTTATTTTATGCTAATGAACTTTCCTATCTCTCTCATTTCCATTTTCCTGCCAAAATGTAAATTTTTAGCTCGTACGATATTTAAATGAGGTAAAAAGAAGAAAATATTTTAATTCTGTGGCCTGTAATTGGTAAACTAGCTTAGTTTTACTTAGTTAAGTCAATTCATTATCTTTGATTTAAGCATAACTGTTGGCTATATTTTTAAGCACGACTGAGCCGTCTGTCAACTTTTATTTTAGTTAAATAAATAATCCTTTACACCCGTTTCCTTATATCTGTGATACATATCAGGCATTGCAATAATTCATTTTCAGTCTTTTAAAACGTTTCGTACATTTTATATTCCCAAAGAAAACGAAACGTTATATAATAATATAACATTTTATGTAACTGAGCACATGATTTAAAGAATTTATATTGAGCGTTAATTGAGAGAGTTCAAAACTTTCCAAATCTACTAAATAATAAATAAAGTAAAAAATATTAAATCTTTTATAATTAATCTTTTGTTATTTACTCCTAGTCATATACAACTATACTGGGGATTTACAATTCAGTAATATTTTATTTGAAGCTTATACGTTTATTAATTAGTGTATTATGTGCTTACCGGATCTGACAGATCCTGCTCTAGTGCTGAACACGCTGATCATAGTTCCGGATCTTTCGCTGCTCTGACGTCCAAAATTCCACCTCATATTTCTCTTGCATCCTATAACCGCCAGAAAACCTTGTCGATATTTTTTGTGCATGAAGCAGTATGTCAGAGGATTGCAGCATGAAGAAATGTAAGCCAGTAAGTGTATGACAGAGATTCCCACATATCCAAGTGATGAGTATACGGTCTTGGCATCAAATAAAGCCCATGTGTTAACTACGTAGAGGGGTGTCCAGCAGACAAAGAATTCGATAACTACCACGAAGAGCATTCTTACAACTCTAGTTTTTGCAGCTTGGTTCTTCTCATATGAGCTCCGTAGAGTAGTCTTGTTTGTTCTGGATCTGCCTGCAGTGGATTTGGAGGAGTAATCTTTGCGACCCATTAATCCATTGCTCGAAGATGGCCGAGGATCAAGGTATTGCTTTTCTGGGTTATTGGATGCGTTGTGATCTGAAAAGAGATGAAGAATACTTAAAGCATTTTTTCTGAATGGCTTAACTTCTGGTTTTTCAATGACTCGTAAGTCAGTTAAAAAATATCTACCTTAAGAGAAAGAATTGTAAATAAAATATGCAGCTTAAATACTACATTAACTTAATTTTACTTATTTATTTATTTTTTAAGATTCTTGCAAGATAAATAGATGTTATTCTTCTAGGTTCAGAATTAAGGGTAAAAAATAACTGTCAAAATATTTGCAACAGTTTATTAATGACGAAAAGAAATTGTTTAAGTTTGTACTATACATTAATTAAATAAAGCTTGTTATACATCAAAATGTTATTCTGGGAATCAGAATTTCAGCCATATCATGTTGGCTAATAAAGCTCGAACTGTAGGAGTGAGGTAATTAATTTAGTTAGTATCATTGAAATATCATGAATGTAGACATAAATGTAAAGATTGATTTAGACTAAAGAGTAGGTTTAAAAGACTTCTATAATGAAAACAGTATTTTGTTTATATTTATCTCGAATTGCATGTTGTTAAGAAAATTGGAATTTCTCCACTTCTTCGAAAATTCCTTTCGTTTGCTACGCGTTTCAGTAATTCATTTGCAGCATACCAGGTCTATAAAGATACCACATTTCAAGCAACAAGAAACATGCATAATACATGTACTTGAAATTAAAGTAAAAGGAAAATATTAACTAAATGTTTAAAAAATAAAAGAGACTTAACAAATAAAAGGGGACATCATATGATATAGTCTACGTTTGTCAAAGGAATTCTGTTGAGTTCATCTTAAACAATAGTACTTTCCTGGTTTCATCAAATCTTCCTAATTCAATTTTTTAAACAGCAGTTTTAAGACAGATCGAATTAAAAAGTGAGCCCATCTTTAAGAAATTTTGTGTAAGGATGAAAATCCAGAAAAAGAAGGACTTCAGGATTTGCAAAGCCATTTGTAGAAGACGACTGTAACCAATGCATAGGGTTTTGAATTTAGGTTCTCCCTTTTATAATAATTAATTTTAAAGAAAGCAAAACTTGAATCAAAGTTTTGATAATGATAACCTCAAAATCGATAATATTCACGCTTCGCGATTTTAAAGAAAATGTTCATCTTAATGAGAACTAAGAAATCTAATAGAAGATCAAAAATTTTTACTTCGAGGTTTTGAGGCGGCTATAGAAGTAAATAAGGAAGCAGGAGCATAAAATTTGAAAAAAAATGCATTTTGTATATTACGTTAGGAGAATGTACTTCAAGACATTTCGCGTTTAATTCAGCAGCCAAACAATCGCCGCGTATTAAAACCACTGACAATTGGTAGTTTGACCCAGGTTTAATTCCCGACAATCGTTTAGCTGCATGATAGTTTTCTTGATTTCCCTCCCCAATAGTAACATGAATATGATCCTCCACGAATGCATCCCTCCCATTAGCATGTGGCAGGTGAAGGAGGACGAGGACGCCTAGTGTCTAACAGAGGTAAACAGTGTGTGTCTTACGCCTTCCACTATCTAGAGAACCAACACGCTGGGGCTTCATGTTCCTCTGAAACGGGAGTTTATTAAGCCATTTCAGAACATTGCAATGCTTTGTCAATTAAAATACTTGAGTTGGTGGTTGTACAACTCATTCGTCTGATATACATGGTAACATGGGCAGATGATGCAAACGTAAAACTGTACAAACACAAAAACATACAAAAAAATTATACAAACAGAAAAACTTACAGAACAAGCAAAAGCGAACAGAACAAACAAAGCATACAGAACAAACAAAAACGAAATATAAAAACACAAATACAAACAAAGAAAGAACATACAGACATAAAGAAGTTTTAGATGTACAACATATGAGACGAAAAACATAGAAAACAGAAAACTAAAGGGCACGAGAACATAGTTTTGGGGGCAGTACAACTGGCAGGGTTCGTGAACCTTCGGCGAAACTGTCACAGTGAAGAAACGCAGTTTTAATACGCTGATTAGTCACTAGATTTGAGTTGGATGTGCTTGTCTTTAGTCTTTAGTGCCGAAACACAGTTTTTATTAATACGCTAGAGTCTTTAGTGACGAACACAGGTTTTATTAACATGCTAGAGTCTTTAGTGACACAATTGTTAAGCAATTGCGTGACGGTATACATTTCTTTGGGGAAGCAATTCTCTAGCAATTGCATTGTTTTTTGAGGCCTTCGGTAGTTTTGTTGGCACACTGATACCCTCTGGCTGGTGTTAAATTGGTTTGCAGATATCTTGTTACATAGATGTTAGAGTGCCTAGCATCTTGACAGATGTTGTTAACTGTAGCTCTGATCTTGTTTATGTGACCTTCAAATGCGTCTGTGATAGATGTTGGGTGCTTGATGTTCATTGAGATTGTTAGTGAGCAGTAGTAGTAGTAATCGTCTAATCCTCCCTCTTGGCCGCAGATGCAGGTTTCTATGTTGGAGATATTAATTTGTAGACACATTGAGAATGAAGTCATAGGCGCCCCGGCCTGTTTCACTCATATCCCATTCAGACATTCCTTGCGCACCTCTCTCGAGAGAAGTGCTTTCAGGTGGGAGGGTGGGGCTTGGATGTTATGTTGTCGGGCGTCTGTATTGCTGAAAGCTTCTTTGGCCAGATTATCTGCTACTTTGTTGCCCTCTAATCTGTCATGCGCCTTGACCCGTGTGAGTTGGATGTGCTTGTAACTGTTATGGTAAAGCTGGCTTTGAATTTCCTCTACGATGGATGAAGATTATCGATGATTTTGAATTGCCAGGAGGGAAGATTGACTGTCTGAACAGATGTAGATATTGTGTTCGGTAGTAGCTGGTACTTGTTATAGAGCCTTATGAGTGGCCAATGACTCGGCCTGGAAGCCAGTATTGTGTTGGAGTAGGTGTTCTTTCCAGCAGGCCATGCGTTGGTTGTTACGGCATAGTACGTAGGCGCTGCCGACTCCTTCTTCCTTTTAGACCCATCTGTGTAATAAGTATATGCATGTGTGGGGATGGTAATAGGCCGAGTGTTATAAATGCTGACGTGTACTCCAACTTCTTTGTTTCCTAGATGTAGTTGTGGGGTAGACCTTGGATATTCGTTGGGTGCTGGACTGAAAGAGGTGCCTCGAAAACTTGCAACTGTGTGGAGTTGAAGGATTTTGATAGTGGACATTTCTTACTCTGCCTTTAGGTGTGAGGCGGACGAGAACGACTATCGCATCTGTAGCAGTTGTGCGATAGCCCTTGCACAGCATGAGAGCAAAAGGACGTTGGATGATTTGTAGGTGTTCCACTTTGCATCCTTGCGTCGGGAAGGACCAGATTACTGCTGCGTAGAGTGCGATGCGCTCGATTACTCTTGTGTAGAATAGTTTAGTGATATGAGGGTTTTGTTCCCCGTTTGTGCCTTGAAATTGACAAGTCTTATGTTTTTGTTTTATTTCGAAGGTGCTGTAAATGAGGGATTCAGGTTCAGCCTCGGATCCATGTAAAGCCTAAATATTTAAAATAGTTAACTATTGTTGTATTTTTTTGTGGAGCAGCTTGATGCAGGGGCAACGTGTTGGATTAGTGGTGGTCTTGAGGATGATTAAAGCTGTGAATTTATCAGCTGATATGCTTAGTTTAATAGCGTGACAGAAATTGCTGAAGCAGGAGGCAGGCATCAGTAGCTCTCAGTTCCAGATCATCTCCTGTACGTCCCTGGACAAGGAAGATGGCGTCATCAGCAGACGCGACTAGCTGGGTGTGCTGGGGCCATTTGGTTGCCAAGATGTAGTTGAAAGTTAAGTTCCAAATCACTTGCCCAGTGCATGAGCCTTGAGGACAGCCTCTCTCTTGTTTTTACATAATGGTGCCGCTACTGTGGGGAACTATAAGAAATCTATCTTGAAGATAATTTCAAAAGATTTTTTAGATGTTCTGAGGATATTGAGCAGCCCTGAGTGCCTGTCTGATGGCCGGTCACCAGAACGAAAATAGTATCTGGAGATTTATAAAGATGAGGGCCGTGCGGAAGTTCTGTTTCCTTATGTGATGGATGGCGCGTCGAATCCCATCCAAGGCATGTATTGTTGAGAGAAGCCGTACTTTCTGCTGTTTAAGATGTTATGGACCTGGAGATGGTAGCTGAGGCATTGTACAATCAGTTTCTCATAAATCTCGCCAAGTGTAGGGAGGAGTGACATTAGACCTTAGTGAACGGGGATTTAAAGGAATTTTGTTTTCCTTGGCGAAGAAAACCACGTGACCGACTTTGGAAACAGATGTTGCCTAGTCCAGCTTATCGGGACTTGGAGCTTTCTTTCTGGGTAATGTCCGGAAGATTTGTCTGATTTCTTGAGAGCCGAAAAGAATGTCAGCTGTGGTTTTCGGGGCTGTTAAGTCATCGCGAATTCTTTTCTGTTGTGAAGTTTTGCAGGAAGGATTTCGTTGGAAATATAGTGTCATTATGATGCTGGCTGTGGTGGAGGTATTATTTGCGCGATGGTCGGAGATCTAATGTTGAAGATGTAACTGATGAGGCTTGAAGACTTTGTGGAGATCATGTGTAGGATGCCGTGTGGGTCTGTACTGGAACCGCAGAAGTTTCTCCGTCTGTGGTCTTGGCAGTGAGAATGTTACGTTTGTACACGGCGCTCTGTCTTCCGAATAGGGCCAGGTAGTGGGTAAGCTCGTGTGATGTGTTTATCATAGCATGAAGTCGCCTCAAAGCAATGCACTTTTGGACTTGTTGGCGGAGAATCTTAGTGCATTAGGAGATCCCTTGCAGTTTTTGGCGGTGTGGATTGGAAGAAACGTATCGCAGCAGCGTTGCAAATGCATATCCATTTCGGCAGTTTTTGATGAAAAACGCTTTCCTATTTCTTTAGCCAACTAGCGTACTAACCACCAAGAGATCGCTGAACGCTGGTAGTTCGACTTGGCTTCGAATTTCAGCAAATGGGTTCCCTTAATGATTGGGTTCCGAGGTTTTCCCGTGCATAATGTGGATAAGAGCCAGTTT